GTTTAAAAATTAATTCAGATTGAATGTATTATTGTACATTGTACATTTTAATGAACATTATCTTAAGGTAGTGTGAGAAATTATGGAAAAAATCAGAAGTAGATATCACAGCCTGCAAGCTTGACTAACAAATGACAATAACATTATGTGCTTTTCTTGATATTAGACATTTAGGATTTCATTTTAATTTTCATACTATTTCGTCCTTTTATCATCAGCAACTGTGACCTACAGCAATCTATGCCATTTTTGAAAGCTGACAGTTATTACTCACTTTTTCTCTCAAAGAAACATTCAGCTGCTCATTTTTCTGTCTTGCRTCATCAAGCTGCTGTTTAGTTTCTTCTTTTAAAGCTTCCAGTCTTGACACCTTTTCACTTGATTTAGCCAGGTCATCCTCAACCTGGGGAACAAAATTCATGCATTATAAACACATATATTATTATGTCTTGAAAGACAATTAAGTTTAATAATCATTAATTGAAAGACAATTTACAGCAATCACATCCAGTTTAAACAAAACAGTACCTTATTGTTTTGTTGGTGCATTTCTTCAATCTTTTTCAAATAYTCATTAGCTTGAGACTGYGCAAGTGAYTCTGCCTGGCTGAGTCGGGCTTGAAGTTGCTCCTGTGKAAGTAACASAAGCAGACTCTATGAAAAACAGTTCCCTTTTTYCTATAATAAGATATACAATTATACTCTATATTCTTAACTGACCTTCTCTTGTTTAATTTGTGCAATTGCAGTTTCTGTTCCTTCACCTGCTTCAATCTAAAAATATAATATTAATGATGTCAGAATAACTTTATGAAAAAAAAAATGATTACAGAATAGTAAATAATTCAGCTCAGATGCACAGCAGTTTTACATATTTACATTACTAGTAGACTTTTAAAGTAATTAGATTGTTCACTAAGAACAATAAACTCTGCTTAAACTACTAACTACATGTAGGTACCTTTGCAATAAGGTCAGTCCTTTCTGTCTGAAGTCTGAGWACATCTTCTTTCGCTTGACTTAAATTTCCTTCTAATTCACTAACTCTTGAGTTTCTGCACAGTCCAGCAAAAGTGGCATGACCATAATGAATAAATGCAATTAATATTTCTGATATATAATTGATATTTTTTTCTTATAAACTTCTATTATTTTATGTATGGATCTAGTATAAGGCACGYAATCTCCTCCTTTTATCAAACCTTACTTGTTTCCAAGTTGTCTTTGACTTTCCTCAAGTTGGTTTTGTAGGTTTCTAACTTGCTGACTTACATTGTCCTTTAAATCAAGCTACAAACAAAGAAATGATATTTTTAAATCCATCTCCATCTCCTTAAAAATCTTGAGCAAATGGATTTAAATTGCACCTTTCAYTGGTGAAGAAATGAGAGATTAGATTTCTACCTCAGATTGAAGTTTGCCTTGCATTTCCTCTTGTTGTTTTTGCAGATAATCGATGAATGTTTCCTTCTCCTTTAGACTGACCTGAGACTATAAACATAACAACATCAGCTTGTTCTGCAATGATTTGAATGCCAGGATATGAACAGAAAAGAAGGAAATAAAATCGAATTTAATAAATAAGAAATACATAATGAGTGGGGAGTGTACACTGTAGCTGTCAATAAAGAAAGGCAAATTAAGTTAAAATTATATTACCTTGCTAAGATCATGTTGTAAAGTGATAATTTGTTGCTGTTGTTCTTGCGATTGTGTCTGAGTTTGTTTCCTGCTTTCTGTCGATGCAGAGATGGCTGTCTGGAGACTACAATTAAATGCATATCAAATTGTCAAGCAAACAGAATAACGCTACGCTGCCTAATCTGTAATTTCTTTCACAGCTCTCTGTTACATGTTGAAAGTCATTAAAGGGACACTGTCAATGGATGACATGCGCAGTAACAGTCTCACCTCTAACGGACTTTGAAAGTATAACCTTCGAGGTAAATCATTTTGTGGTGCTTTTGACACACTTTGGAATATTCTAGATCTGTTTACGCGCATGTCATCCATTGACAGTGTCCCTTTAAGAGAGCTGGATGTAGATGAGTGTGAAAATGGTAGACACATCTACAGTAATAAGGTACATGTACACATGTACTGTTAGTACAAGTATGATGTATCACTGTTAGTAAAAGCATTGTCCATCTCCCTTGTACTGCAAAGATGTCATGAATTATGGTAACTACCTTTACTTTCAAGATTACCCATGAAACTAAGAAGGAGGATCTATTCATACAAACCTTTCAATTTGTTCAGTTTTTGAAGCTTTTTCCACCTCAAGCTCTTTCACCTTGATCTGCAAACTAAAACAAGCCAGTTGAACACATTTTCTATTCCCAATTGATCCAGTAAAACATCACCCAACAACAGGCCCTATTGACTTACTCATTAAGTTGTTGTAGTGATCCATTATATTTTTCTTGCCACTGCCTTTGTTGACTTTCTTTCTCCTCCTTTAAACCAGCTATTTCTTGTTGAAGGTTCGATATTTTACTGTGTAGAGCAGTAATCTCAGAGCCTGATGGCCTAAATCAAATTACATGTAAATCCCAAGGAAAGTTTATAAAATAAAATTTATATTGTTATTTACCAGCTGATGCATGGATGTACAAAGGGTAAATAGAGCTATCCACTCAGGATAAATAAAGGTTACAAAATCTATACAGTGGATTACTTTATCAACACTTTGTACAACCAGGCCCAGAAACTCTATTTTAATAAAACAAAATTAAAATTAAAATTAAAATTAAAATTAAAAATTAAAATTAAAATTAAAATTAAATTTAATTAAAATTAAAATGTCTTTTTTGGACAGTAATAGTGTGAACAAATGAGCCTTTCTTGTACCACATTTCCCCCCAGATACTCATGAATATTCCATACTTTTGTCAGACATTTTTCCCCTTATAATCAAATCATACATGTAGCTCTATACTCTTCAAAAACTGGGCTAGTACAAAACATTACATAAATAAAAGCCACACTTATCATTTTACAATATATTACCTTTGTGCCAATTGGCTCTCCAAACTTTCGTTTAATTTATTCCTATCCTCCAGTTGTTCCTGTTTTAAGCAAATTGGTAATTTCAAAAAAGGCATGAGAGCTTAGTAATCATGCTGAGCCAAATACCTTTAGCCTGCCTAATTCATCCTGCAACAAACTTTTATTGGAAGTCTCTTCATCAAGTTTTGCTTTCAGACCAGCATTTTCAGCTGCCTACAAGTGTGTAATGCATGCAAAAAAAAAATGTAAAATAACAATAATTTCTGTCAAAACTAACTAATTGTAATTAATATTATCCTTGTAGTTATGCTGATAAATTGAGAATCAAAGTGAGACAATAGTCTTCTTCATGGTTCCCTGCACCATCTTGAAAGGTAGCCATGCCTTTGCATCGAAGCAAGATGAGTGTTGAGTGTGCAGAGATCGAAACCTTTTTTCGCACCTGCCGACAATTATTCACAGGTATTTATCATTGCACACTCAACGGTTTTCTCGCTTCCATGCAATTAAGTCATGGCTACCTTTAAAGATGGCACAGGGAACCGTGAAAGAGACTATTTGCAAAGCACAAATTACATTCTGTAGAGTTGATAATGAATATCATTTTTTGTCTAATATCAAGTCGATGGAGGTCTATATATTACAAGTTAGAGTGCTTACCAATTGTGAAGATCTGATTGCTAGATCCTTTTGTTCACTCTGAGTCCCTGTGTGTGATTCAACACTTTTTGCCAATTCAACTTTTAGCTGAGCAAATTCTGCCATAGCTAAAATTTTAAAATATCATATCAGCAAATTATCACTTAATTCTTAGTGTAACATGCCTAACATAATGGCTAAAATGGCCAAAATTACAATAGAACTATACTAAGTTGACATTTTTTTGTTGAGAAACTTACATTTCACATTCTTTTCTTTTTCTTCCATCAACTTTTTGTTGAAGTTTTCTTCCAGTTCTTGCTTTTCCTGTCACAAAATAGTGCAATGTGTTACAGATAATTAAATAAATAAATGTAAAAAATCCATGTCATATTATATTCTATTTTATATTTTTACCTTTTCGTGTTCTTTGCACTTCTGTTGGAATTCATTTTTCTCTTTAGTAATTTTATCAACTTCTTCTTTCAAAGCTGCCGAATACCATTTTTCTTCCTGCGCAAGGATACCAAATAGTTGTCAGTGACCTCCTTATGTCTAGGGCAAAAAAATAATGACAAAAACTTTTACTTGTTTACCTTTAATGAAGCATTCACATCATTCAGCTCCTGCTGTAAGTTCAAAACCTCCTGCGTTTTTTCTTCAATCTCTTTTATTGATGTTGACAGTAATGACACCTCAGATTCTTTACGAGCTACAGGTCCATTGTCATCAAAAGATATCAAGGAACCTTGTTCTTCATTCCATATCTTTGTTGAATCATTTTGCTGAGTGATGTCTACTGCAGCTGATGCCTGAAGAGGAGCCTCAGTTGACTGAATAAAAACAATTCAAATAATATTATATTCAATTATATATACTCGATTGACAAAAGGTTGTCATTGACAGAGTTTCACGATACGCGACTAGCCCGAAATTGTTGTTATGTCTAATTTGCCAGTTCATTGATTTTTACCCACTCAGAAACCTGTTCAGGTGAGTCGTATGCTACGAAGTCCGGTAGACGACAACCTTTTGTCAATGGACTATATAGGCAATTATAATCAAACACATCTCAAGCCCAGCTACTGAGCTCCAGGAGTAATATATAGCCATGCCAAAAATGATGGAAGATGGAGTTAGACTATTTAGCATAGAACTCCTCAATTCTTGAGTTAGCARCGATCATTACATAGTATCTTATTACYTTCCAGAGAGCTCTATCGCTTMRTTAGCCTGTSTACATCCGTTTCTGTACGTTCWCTCCCMRATTTATKGGGAGGGTGAGAAACRGATATACACAGGCTATCGCTAAATGAGCCATAGGAAAGTCTCTTACCACTAATCTGTTTTATATAAGTTGACAAAATTGTTGGGATAAATTCCATCCTTATTTTTACAAATATAATGTCTTAATGCAGATGTGATCATAAATAAATTGATGTTCAAGAATTAAAACAACATTGTGATTGTGATTTCTGCAATCAGTTAGGTGTGGTTATAGTAAAAAAAAAGTGATTTTAAACTTACTGCAACAATACCATGATCAGTATCATGTTCTTTATCAAAATGGGACTGTAATTCGTTAGAAGTGCCAAATGTTTTACTGCACATAGGGCAAACAAAGTCCTACATGTAATTCAATCAAACAAAGAGATCATTAAAAAAATGGTTATTATTGATAATTTTAAAGTAGATGCACTATCTGTGAAACAAATATTACTGTAATTACTATATTATATATATATAGTGTTGATTAGGCAATGGGAAATGGAATTTAGTACTATTTAGTACTTTTTTTGCTTCTTGATCTCCTTGTAGAGACACACATATATTATTAAACAAGAAAACTAAATGAGGTTGATTAGGGTTGGAGGAAATATTACGGTTAGAGTTATGGGATAATTATAAAACCTTCAATCATAGTATATTTTTTGAAATTTTACAATTTAATAACGAAGCATGAACCTAACTCACTTTAGTCTCTGGAGTTCGTTTTGTCTCGCTTTCGGCATGAGCCATGACAAAATGTATTTGGAGGGCATCAGGTGAGTCAAATGATACCATACACATTGGACAGATAAACCCCTAATGGAAATGAAGAGGACAGCATAATTAGGACAAGACAAAAAGAGGCAATGATCTGGCGTGCATAACGTCTGTGCTTGTCAAGCTAATATGTATAAATTAAATTATTGATATACATGTATGTATGAATTAAATAATATAGTTGATATATCTATAATATTAAGTGCTCAGACCCTAAGGCCTTTGCTCATCTGGGTGTCATACAAAGAAATACAATTTGCTATCATTTATGGGAGCAACAGTATTTTAAAAACTTAAGGTTAAGTTAAGTTAAGCATTTTAACAGATCAGCTGGTACATAAGCTAAATATTACTAGATACTCTTAATAAGCTTACATTGTTTACGTATTGTTTACTGTATTACACCCTACATAAATTCAATCACTTAACGCTGATCAAAATGTGATTTTAACGAAGACGGCTGCATATGCAGAAATCAGAAAATAATCTCGGCAATACAAAGGGAAAACGGTCATGCAACGGTTTAATGTAACGTGAATAGACTGTACACAGACAGTGCAAGGCACYCATTGCTTCCTTTATCAATCCCTTGTACGGTTTCAGTTTCAACTTAAGGTTAATTTTTTTTATGGCTTACCGATGCTTCGCTTGCGTTTGAGGACTACAAGACAGTTCAAAAAGACAATCATTAGTAAGAGGAAACCTGCATAGTAGCCCTACAAATTGAATGGAACCTTACCTCGGCAGGCCTCTCGGGTTCCGCTTCCTTCTTGCGCCAACGTTTGAACATTTTGGCTTTCTATATGTTCCCTATAACTGTCTCTTAGGAAGTAAGATAGATCTGTGAAATATAAAGTGGACGATCACATCACGTAAATCCGATCTTTGCGTGATGTTTGGTTGTAGATCTTGTGTAGTATTTTACAAAATGGCGCCCGCGGGAAACATAAATCAATGGATTKCCTGTGGTAAAACTATTCGAGCGGCAATGATGTAGACTAGGACTAGTCGGCAAATTGCGTTACCAAATTTGTAAAAAAAAAGTGTTTTTACTGGAAAATCGTATTCTACTAGTAATTGATTAATAATGATTAATCAAATTATAAAGAGAGAAGAAAATTATAAACGAAAAAATATCTATATCTAAAAATATCTAAAAATATTCATTTGGGTTGCCTGGCATAAAAACGACCATTGCAATGTATCATGGGAGAATTGWCACTCTTAGTTGCACTTCGTCGAAAAAAAAAAAACAGAACTTGTTGAAGTGCAGAATGCACATTTAGTTCTCTGTCTACTAACTATTAGCAGTGCAACGAGGTCTATTCCAATTCTATTTAGGTCCAGCCTGAGCAATTTTCCCTAATGGCTTTGCCATGTATAACTTTTTTATGAAGAGGTTTGGAAGATTGGATGGCGCGCCCTGCAAGAGACTTGGCTTTCTCATCCTCCAGGGAGTTTAATTATATCATTTGGTCAGTTAATGCAGACAGTGAACAGCACCTCTATCTGCAGACCTCCTTGTATTTTAAGCTTATCTTTCATTTCCAGTAGTGTCCACACTACATGCTCACAAACTTTAGAATTGTCGCGATTTCCATTGAAGTTGATTCTCACTCCAGTTGACTTTCAGAAAATTATTTGCTACATCTATTCCTCGTGTTTCGGAAAGAAAAGACAAGATGGCAAAGAACAAAGTTACTTAAGTTTAGTACGCAGTCATCAATGATTGCAAGACTGAGGGTCAAAGATTATACTCGGAAACTCATGAATTATTTCTTATGATTTGCTGTCCAGAATTTCAAGGTATGTTGCACAAATTGTGATTCAGGATTTGCTACAAAGTAATTCTTCAAGCCAGTAACGGAGGACTGGTTGGGGTTTTAAAGTCAATGTAATTGCTATAGCTGTTAAAATTCAAGAACTTTGACTTCTTCCAGTCTCCATTGCCAACCTTGAAACAAATTTATAGTGAATCGTCATCTGCGAGCTACCAAATAATTATTGGTTATTTGATGCTCAATCCATAGCAAGTTAATTGCATGAAGGCAGCCAAAGATGAAAATAATATACCCAATCAGAAGCTTGCAGATGGTGATCTAGTCCTAATTAAAATTCTCCCATGGTCTAAAACAACTTGTTTATCCTAAAAGTAATAGTCTACTATGAATGATATATTGTCTTCTTAAAACAAATACCTCTTGTCCATATTGAAAGCTGCTCACAATCATGCCGGGTCCAAGTTTTTCTTCAGGAAGGGGTGCAGGGCAATCAGGAAGGGGTAAATAAATCAGAATTAGGGTAAATATTGAAGGATACAGTGTCTTAGGAGGGGATGGGGTGTGCACTCCCATGTACCCACTAGATAGATCTGCTCCTGGATCATTAATATAATTACTTTTTAACCAGGATCAAAATGATCCCTGAAATATAAAAGTATGTGATTCACAACTTCAATTAGAAGTTCAATCTCTGCAAAGCATTTTCTTGTTACCGATAACCACTTACCATCCAGTGGTGCAAAGGCCTCCATCCAGCTTCTCCACCTCTCTCGGGTCAAAAATATTTCCTTGTAATTACATCTATATGGTTTTGGAATCTGCTTTACAAGTAAAGCACATTCTTTTTAGTCATATTGTCTTTTTTCCTGCCATTTTTTGAGTCATGTTTGGGGGTTCCTAAGATTGCAAGATAAGGGACAGAGAGGTACTTCTTAAAGTACCTAGAAACATGAATATACTTAATATGAAGCTTTCACGTCACCTACCTGATTTGCAATGCATTTTGGGATCAATTTCCGGGAAATTCAAAAGAAATCAGGCATGTTTTTTACCCAAAACATATCCCACAATACATCAAGTATACGGTATACAGTTAACTCTCGCTATTACGGAYACCCTCGGGACCGTAATTTAGTGTCCGCAGTAGCGAGAGTCGTAATTTCATAATTATCCAAGAGTAGTTGAACGGGTATTCTTAGTTCCGGCAACATTTCAGATCGGTTAACTTCCGCCATTTTTTCGTTGCACAGACGTCACGTGGTTGATTGATCAAGAGCAGCCAATCAAATTTGAGCATGATATTTTCAGTATTCGATGCACGAGGCAAAAGAAATCCAACACAGAAGAAAAGGACATTGCCTCGCGAGGTAAGTAGATTTAGCCGGGACAATAAAATTGTTCACCACACTTGTTCGCCTGACTAAACTGCCACTCTTTACGATGTCCTTACGTAATATTAATTCTTTTATGTATGTGGCGGCGACCTGTTTGAATTTAACACAGATTATTGTTATTATTCTCAGAAACTCGATGTAGGAAACATTATTATGTAAGCTATAACGTTACTTTACTTTTCTGGGACGTTTTTGGTCAAATTTTAAAAAACCCTCTAATTTCGTGACAATGTACACTTTGATAAAACCTTATTGTTTAGCGTTTTAATTGATCTTAATTTTTACTAAAGATTATCGTTAAAGAGTCATGAGCATAGCGAAAACGATTTCTAATCGATGAGTTTTTTTGGAAATCATATTATGTTGAAGAATTGTAAGGATTTTGATTGTTTTTTGWCATTTGTTTCATGGGTTATTAATTAATATATTACTGCAACTCTAAAAAGAAACATTAAAGTGATTGCAAGCGGTTTTTTTTAACAGGTGTTCCGCGGAGTTATGATCACATGAAGCCAAAAATCAGTTTTCAAACCGTGATTTAATGCTTTTATTTAATATTGCATTCGTGAGCTGTGGCGTTCTAAAATCAAAATACAGCTGAAGAAAGACCAGAGCTGATACGGTTTGAAATCCAAATATTGATCAAACGATCGTCGTGAAAAAATTATCAATGACAATGCTTCGCTGAATTATAACACTTGAAAGGCAATTTCTATTGATATTTCTATACTGATAGATCTTATAAACTAAGATGTTTTAAACGATGCGTTATTTCATTGTTATAATCAGTTAGTGCTCGAGAAATGTGAGCGTTTTGAACAACTTCTCTGGAAACATAATGCCTTTTGGAAAATTGCTTCGTAAAATATATTTATTCTTCAAAATTGGATTTGCGGATTTGCGTCGGAATATTTATTTATTTTTGCAGAATAAATGCCTTACTGTGCAGTTACAGGATGTTTTCTTTAAATTCCCAAAAACAAGGAATTAAAAGAAAAAACAAGAACAAGAAAATAAAAGAAAACTTGACTGATTTTTAGATTAACACATCATTGAAAACGCTGAGGGGTCCACCGTTTTACTTTTACGGTGTGCCGTGAATATCCTCAACCCTGCTTTACGTTTTGCCGGGTTTTTTTGAACTTTTCGTTGATCAGAAGCCAGGCGTTTTTCTATGAAAGTGTTCGAGTTTCTAACAGCTTAGCCGTAGTGGCTTTCACTTCCTAGTATTTGTTTTTATGGAGACATCATACAAATTTTCCTTGTGAAACGCGCTTTCAGAATTTTTTTGAAATTATATCAACACACGCAGCCCAGCCCCCTAAACAAGTGAGAAGAAGTATACGGCGGTCAACCCCATAAGTGTAACATTATTCATGATAATAGTCATGTTTGTTTTGACACCATGTGGTCTTCTGAAAACAAACATGAGAGAATCGAAATTTAAAAAAATCAATTCTTACTATGATACAATAATTCTATGGCACTCACTGTTTCCGTATATAAAGATTAAATACAGTTGTGGATCCAGAACCATTACAGAGAGGTTGACTCACTCAAGACAAAATATTCAATGGATAGATTTGGGCTTCAGAAAGTGACATTTCTTTCAAATGAACGCAGATTTTCTTTTTCTTCTCCATTTTTTTCTTTTCTTCTTTTATCCATTTGTATCATGATTTCGATTTCTATATTTTTGAACTCCAAAAAGGGGGGTTTGTAGCCTGTCTAATCACTCTCTCTGGATACGCCCTTGAAAGACATCTCAAGATCGAAGTAACGTAGTTGTTGTCGCGATATCTCTGTAATTAAAGTTGTTTATCCCTTTTATGATGCTGTTTACAAAACTGCATTGCATTTCGGAAACCTCCACGCAGAGTTGAAGACGCTATATCAAATGTTTTAAGAAAGCACACTAGATTGCTCAAAACATAAATATAGGCAAATATTGTTCTATAATTATCCCAAATTTTGTTGGCGAAATTTTTCCCGAAAATAATGAAAGTACTGTAGGAAGTAGTAAATCACTTAATTAGATTGTTATTGCTTTCATTTACTTTAAATATTTGAAACAAGAAGAGAAAAAGCATCCATTAAACTGGTTTGTGCTGCGTCATCGTTACTGATGAAAAAATTGAGAAAAAATCATAAATAGCAGCTCAAAAGAATCGCAGAAAACCGCCTGGTCACCGGATAAAATAAGTACATGTTTGTTTATTCAAACTTCCGAAATATTCTACCATACGTCATTTTGTCGCTGAAATCTTGTGCAATGTTTAGAAACACATCTCAGGTCGACTACGCCCTGTGTCGACTTCAATATCCAGTCATATTGCTACAGGCTTTTAAAGCTATTACTTTTTGACGTAAAGTACTGCAAACGTCGCGACACCTATTATCGGCGCGTATATTTGCCTGTTATTCTCGATATCTAATGGCGGACATGTTGACATGAATTATGTACAAGTGCACTTATATATTGATGTGCAAATCTTTGCCAAAACTTTTTGGTAACATGACCGATAGTGACCGCACGCCACGAACTAAGGTGTCAAGGTTAAAGTCCGAGCGGTACTTAATCCATCGAAAATCACAATATTGGCACTTTTTGGATTTAGGTTTACGTTGCTAAAGGAAACTTCATATCATCGGAGAGGGAAGACGTTTGAAGATCTTCAGCTTCTCGTGAGTACCTTTATGTTATTTTGTTTTGTTATTGTTATTGTTTTTTTTTTCTTTTTTATATCGAATATAAAGTACAACTT